ACTTGGGTTTTTCATTCTCCAGTTTAGAATTTAGCACTGTATTCTCAGCTGTCGGAACATTAAGATGTCCACTATGCCGGATTATTGTTTCTGCCAATGTTTCCTCATTCAGTTTTGTCTTCTTTTCAAGGTCATAATTCTTTTCTTTCACAATTTCAATGTCCTTGAGGTATTTCCTGGTTCTGATTTTGTATTGCGTCTGTTCTAGTCTTGGCACGGCAATTTCACCCTGCAATATATAGTTTGTACTCAACAGATCTTTTGCTTTTCCATGATTGTAAGAAACCTTAGAATTCATTTTCTTTTGAGCCATTTCTATCTTCCTTTGTCTGCAAAGGTGACTGGTCAGAATCCCATCTTACAACGTTCTGGCGTTCTGTTCTCCAGAGATGGTTGCCTCTGGGTGTCATTTTGCTCTTGCACTGTGTTTGCCCAGTTTATTATAAAAATGTCACACCAGGCACGGATGAAGAGAAGCGCAGGGCGAAGCGTGGGGCGAGGGGCGCAGAGCTCCCGCGCCCTCCCTGGGTGCCACCCTCCAGGAACCTCCACACGTCCAGCCATGGGGACGCCCCTTGTTGTATGTTTAAATATATAAAATATTAGCACGCTTCCTGCAGCAGTCAGAGCTCTTCAGAGAGACAGGACGGGTGGGACGTACGCGGAACGGAGTTTAGCCGGGAGTGCGGGCCCATGTGGGGCAGAGGATGGGCAGAGCCAGGCGCGGGGCTCAGTCCGAGTCCAGAACCTCACAGCCGGGAAAGCCAACAGTGCAGCCCCCGTCCGGGCTGAAGGCCTGAGAGCGCCGAGAGGTGCAAGTCCCAGGGTCCAGAGGCCAAAGAACCTGGAGTGTGATGTCCAAGGGCAGGGGGATAAGAAGCTTCCCACTCTGAAAAGGTTGGGGGAGAGAGAGAAGAAACTCAGCAAGCTGAGTGTCCCCCTTCTTCTGTCTGCTTGTCCTAGCCGTGTGGCAGGCGGCCGCAGGGTCCCCGCACACTGAGGACGGGTCTTCCTCACGGTCCACCGGCTCCACGTCCGTCTCTTCTGGAAACATCCTCGCAGGCGCACCCAGAAACAGTGCGTCACTGGGCACCCCTCAGTCCAGCCAAGATGACACCTAATATTAACCGCCACAAGTCCACCATGCCCTTGTTGACTTGGCCCCCGTATGCTTTTCTTTAAATCTGACTTGGTTTCCAGATAAAGATAATAAGGGTAGAATTCTGCCTGATGTAGATCAACTATCCTTCATCCAGCCAGAAACGCAGTAATCCCCTAACTTAGATACTGTTATGTAAAATTAGCAATGCTTAAATGCTGATGTGAAGTCAGCAATTCTTACGTTACATAAAGGAATAAGAAAGGGCATAAGACAAAGATAGTTGCTTAATACAGGTGTCTGTGCACACATGTGTTCTCAACGAAATAAGAAGAAAATACTCTCGACAATTACAGTCCTCGTTTCTGTAATGGTCACGTGGTCGTCACTGGTATTTATAAGTACCTTCTTCTGCCACCTGTTCTGTGTTCCCTCTGCCTGCAGCAAGCACCTCAGCTGCTTGTGGTTTTTTACCTGCAGGAGTGACACAAACCTTCATTCCTGGAGGCTCTGGGCCTCTCATCCTGCCAGGATTGGGTTGTTGCATCTCCTGTTGACCTTAATTACAGGGCAGGGTAATTCTACGAGATGAAGGGGTCTCCTGTATTCCAGGTCTCCTGCTCTTTCTCACCTCCACTGGGGAGTACGGTCCACTCTGCCCTTGCTAGTCTGGTCAGTCACCCCGGCCAACACCGTAAATCCCTTCTTAGCCTGCTGACTCAGAGGCATGAGGGGCCCAAAGTGGCCAGGTGGCAGTCTTAATTTCCAGTTCAGTGGAATCACTATTGTGCCTCCTGGTAGAAGATACTCCTGCCTCTGGAATTAAGACCTCCATAGCCAGCAGAACATAATATCATCGGACTAGGAAGCAAACGTTTTGCTAGTGGGTCACCAGTGGTGATGGTGATGGTGCCACTCCCATTCCACCTCTTGATTCCTGGACCCCTGCATCCCAGCCATGGGAGAAGCAGTTCCATATACTGGATGCTGATTTAGAGCATACACAGCCTTCTGGAGAACTGTGCTCTAGCCTTGTAGAGCGCTGTCACCTGGCTGGTGCCGTAACTGCAACTTCAAAAGACCACTGCACCATTCTATGAAGCCAGCTGCTTCAGGATGGCGGAACATGGCCAGACCAGTGAATGTCACAGGCGTGAGCCACAGCTGCGCTTCTTAGGCTATGAAGCGAGTCCGTTGGTTGGAAGCAGTGCTGCGTGGAATACCACAGAAGTGGATAAGGCATCCTGTGAGTCCACAGGTGGCAGTTTTGTCAGAAGCATTGCATGCAGGAAAGGCAAATCCACATCCAGAGCAAGTGTCTGTTCTAGTAAGGACAAAACACTGCCCCTTCCGTGATGGAAGTGGCCCAGTGTGATCAACCTGCCACCAGGTCGCTGCCTGATTGCCCTGAGGAATGGTGCCATATTGAGGGCTCAGTGTTGGTCTCCGCTGCTGGCAGCCTGGGCACTCAGCGCTAGCCGGGGCCAGTTCTTCCTTGGTGAGTGCACGTCCGTGTTGCTGACCCCATGCGTCACCTCCACCCCTGCCACCGTGGCCACTTTGTCCATGAGCCCACTGGGCCATGACGGGGCGGCTGGGGAAAGAGGCTGAGTGATGTGTACAGAGCAGATCCTTCCCTCCACTTGATTATTAAAGTCCTCCCCTGCTGCGATCACCCTCTGGCGAGCATTTACATGGGGCATAAATATCTCCACACCTTGTGCCCACTCAGAACTAAACTTAAGAGGGGGGTTCTGGGAAGATGATGGGATATGAAGCACCAGAAATGTCTCTCTCCCTGCCTAACAACCACCACACTGGTAGAATCTGTCTGGAGTAAATACTGTCAAATTCTGGAAATAGATCAAAGGCTTGCAACTTCCAGGGGAAGCTGTGGTTATTTTCAGTCAATGTCAGCTCTTAGCACGGTAGCCGTGTGGCAGGCAGCTGCGTATGCCTTCCTAGAGCAGATGGGGGTTCCTGTGTTCGTGGACTGGGAAACTGAATACTGTTAAAATGTCAATACTACCCAAAGCTTTCTATGGCTTCAGTGCAATCCCTATCAAAGTCCAAATGATGCTTTTTGCAGAAATAGAAAAACTCATCTAAAATTCACATGGAATCTCAAGAGGATCCCAAGTAGCCAAAACAATCTTGATAAGGAAGAACAAAGGTAGAGGACTCACCCTTCCTGATCTCCAAACTTACTACAAAGCTACTGTCATCAAAACAGTGTGTTACTGCTGCAAAGACAGTCCAATGGAATAAGCCATTGGCTTATTTAGCCACATATATGGCTAAATGATTTTTGAAGAGGGTGCCAAGACCATTCAATGGGGAAAGTCTTTTCAACAGGCGGTACTTGTTGAAAATTGGGTGTCCGCAGACAAAAGAATGAAGTGGGACCCTTACCTAATTCCATATACAAAAAATAACTCAAAATGGATCAAAGACCAACATATAAGACCTGAAACAATACAGAGGAAAACATAGGGCAATAGCTTCACAACATTGAATTTGGCAGTTTTCTTGATATGACACTAAAGGCACAGGCAACAAAAGAAAAAACTGGACAAATTATACATCAAAAAATTATCTGATTCAAAAGATACTGTTATGGTTTAAATGTGTCTCCCAAAATTCTTTTGTTGAAACTTAGTTTCTGATGTGATAGTATTGACTTAAGAGGTAATTAAGTCATGAGGACAGATTACGGCCCTTATAAAAGGGCTTGAGGGAGTGGATTCAGCCCCTTCAGTCCCTTCTGCCGTGTGAGGACAGGGTGCCCATCCCCTTGGGAGGAAGGTGCCATTTTGGAAGCAGAAGGCACTGCTCACCAGACATGGAACCTGCTGAAACCTTGATCTTAGACTTCCAGCCTCCAGAACCATGAGAAATACAGTTCTATTGTTTACGAATTACCCATGCTGTGTTATTTTGTGATAGCAGCACAAATGGACTAAGATGTGCCATCAACAGGGTAAAGAGACAACCCACAGAATGGGAGAAAATATTTGAAAATCATGTATCTGATAAGGGGTTAATGCCCAGAATATATGGAGAACCCCTAAACCTCAACAACAGAAAAGCAAACAACACGATTCAGAAATGGGCACAGAACTTGAGCAGACATTTCTCCAAGCAAGGCCTACAAATGGCCAATAAGCACACGAGAAGATGCTCAGCATCACTAACCATTAGGGAAATGCAAATCAAGACTACAATGAGACACAACCGTACACTCATTAGGATGGCTACTGTCAAAAAAAAAAAAATCCGCAAAAAGATAACAAATGTTGGAGAAATTGGAACCCTTGTGCACTGTTGGTAGGAATGTTAAATGGAGCAGCCTCTGTGGAAAACAGTGTGGCAGTTCCTCAAAAAGTTAAAAATAGAATTACCATGTGATCTAGTAATTCCATTTCTGATTATACACCCAAAATAATTGAAAGCAGGGTATCAAAGAGGTATTTATACACCTGTGTTCATAGCAGTGTTATTCACAAAAACTAAAACATGGAAGCAAGTTGAGTGTCCATCAACAGATGAATGGACAAGCAAAACATAGCACATCCATATTTTATCCACAGAATGTTATTTAACCTTAAAAAGGAAGGATATTCTGCAATATGCTACAGTATGGATAAACTTTGAGAACATTATGCTAAGTAAAATAAGCAAGTCAGAAAAATACAATTATTGTATGATTGCATTTATATGAGGTATTTAGAGTAGTCAAAATCATAGAGACAGAAAACAGAATGTTGGTTGCCAGGGGTTGGGGGCAGCAGGAAATAGTTATTATTTAATGTGTACAGAGTTTAAGTTTTACAAGATGAAAAGAGTTATGGAGATGGTTGCACAACATTATGAATGTATTTAATACCACTGAACTGTACACTTAAAAATAATTATGATGGTAAATTTTGTTATGTATATTTTATCACAATAAAAAAATGAAAAGAAAACCATTGTTGATGGACCATATGATGATGAAATAGAACCATGTCACATAATTTGAAGTGTTTTTCCATCATCTCTATTTAAAATTAGACTCCTCTTTTTCTTAGTAGTTGATAATCTACACTAAGAGAGGATTAATAGCTGTTATGGACTGAGTATTTGTGTTGCTATTTAGAGGTGTTGCTCTTTAGAGGTGTGGTCTTTGGGAGGTGGTTAGTTCATGAGGGTGGGGCCCTCACACACGAGATTAGTGCCCAGAGAGCCAGTTCACTCTCTTTCCAGCACTGGAGGATACGAGAATTTGGCAGTCTGCAACCCAGAGGACGGTCCTCACCAGAACCTGACCATGCTGGCACTCTAATCTCAGACTTCCAGTCACCATAACTGTGCAAAATAAATTTCTATTGCTTATCAAAAACACACAAAAATTGAAAAACACTAAACTAAGATATAAACTGAGAGCAGTCGCACACACCTCTCTTCCATCTTTCCTATTCCACCCCCCCAACCCCTTTAGGTAAGCAGCTGCATAGTTTTCTGGTTTATTTGTCCTTTGTCTCATTAAGGATAAGCAGATATAGACACGTTTTATTTCTCCTTTCTTATACACAGGGTAACATACTAAATATTCCTTTAAATTTTACTTTTTTCATTTAACAATATCTCCTGGAAATCACTCAACTCAATTTGTTGATTTTTTTTTTCAAGGAAGCAAAACTGTTGAAAACCAAAGAGAGAAAATCTTAAAATTAGCTTGGGGTAGGGGGCGAGGGTTAAGGGAGGTAAGAGAGCATACACCTTTTTTTCCAAAGAGCAAAAGCAACATATACAGTTGTATACAGCTGATTTTTCAACAGAAATAATGAAAGTTGAAAGACAATGGTACAACATCTTTACAGAGATGAAAGAGTATTACTGTCAACCTAGAATGCTATATCCAGGGAAAGTATTTTAGGCGAAAATGGGAAATCACTGGAACAGGAAAACTGTTAGGAGGCTCTAATAATGGTCAAGGCAAGACACGATGGTACTCTGTACCAAGTGGCAGTAATAAATATGGAGTGAAGATGAATGAGAAATATATTATGGAAGCACCCCCAGCTGGACATGCCAACATGGAACTGAAGGGAAAAAAAGGAGCCAATCATGAGACCTAGGTTTTCACATGAGCAGCTGGATAATCAGTGATGCCCTTTCTGAGACAAGGAGGATTGAAGATGGAAGAGGTTTGGAAAGGCATTAGAGTTCAGTTCGAATATGTCGAGTTTAAGGTTTCTATTGCATAAGCAGGGATGTTAATGTTAAGCAGGAAGTTCACTACGGGAGTAGGGAGCACCTGGCTCACTCCCTCAGTTCCTCCACACTCTGCTCGAATGTGACCTGATGCAGGGAGGTGCTCCCTGAACACCCTATATAGACTAGTAAGCCCACCCCCGACCCACCCCCCACCCCCTTACTCTGCCTTATTTCCCTCTACAGCACTTATTACCATTTGACACATTATACATTCATTTGCATTTTTGCTTATTGAAACAAGAACATCAACAAGCAAGAACATCACCTCCTTGTGGGCGAGAATGCTGTCCATTTTGCTAACCGCCGTGTTCCCAGCATGCCTTCACATTAACGGGTGCTCGATAACTTTTAAGTGAATTGAGCAAGCCCAGGAGAGATTTAAAGGCAACTCCTCCTCACTGAAGAATCTAAAGCCCATAATTTAAAAGTGGTGTTTCTGCTTATATATTCCTGTGGGATGAAACCTTTGCTAATTCTTCTAGTCTTAAATATATTTTGTCCACCTGCTATACCCACAGTGGGCACAGAAGTATGCAGACCGTTTACAGAGAGATTCTTGCCGGGTCTGTGGTCTTTTTTTTTTTTTACAAAAAAGTATGAAATTTATTTCAACATCTAGTTTCATTTTTAAATTAGAGCTATTGGACAATTTTTATAATTTAATATTCATCATCAGAAGTGCAGAAAACATTAAGCTATTAAATACTGAGTGAATAAAATTATTGGATCATGCATTTATAAATGTCATGTTTATTAGTGAAAAGTTCCAGTTATACTACTTGACAAAACATAGCACATTCTCATTGACATAATTTTATCCTCTTCACCCAATTACTATGCCCAACAAAATGTTTCCAAATTTTAAGCCTTTCCTTACCGTTACTTTTTAAGAGTTCTTCAAAAGAAATGTGAAATTTTAATTTTCCTTTTGAACCTGTTTGACCAAAAAAATATTGAACATCACTACCATATAAAACAAAGAATGGAATAAAAAACAAAAGTGTCTATATAATAAGCAAATTGTAGACATTTTAACTATTACACAGTTCTACTTTAGCACAAGAATAAACTGATTCCAAGGTACTACAATGTTTGGCATTTTTATTGCAAGCTATAAATCATAGTATTACTTTTCTCAAGTCGTCTATAAGAAAATGGCTGTGCTCACTAAATACAAAAATTGTTATATCCAGTAGGTGGTATTATACATAGTCAAGTTAAGAGAATTCTTTATAAAATTAGATTTAAAAAATGCAGAATGTCTTGCTAATTAACCAGTTGTCTCAACAGCTAATATCAGAAAAATGCAGAAAATAGAAATACTCATTGATTAAATATTATTTTGCTTTGAGAAAGCCAAAAATGATTCTAAGAAATAAGCAATAATGATAAAAGATGTGATTAATATACTGTATCTCTTTTAAGCCAAACCATACTTTTCACCTCAGCGAGTTCATTTCTGGCTTTTACATTCTTAATTTCCTTTGTCCAGTAAAGGACCCCATTTTAAATAGCTTATTTGAAAAGTTCATAATCTAAAGTAATTTTCCTCCACGGGATGTTTTCATTTCAGCATGTAAACTGCCAAATGGCAAATGACTAAGTCAGTTATAAAGAATTTGTACCATAGTAAAAGCCAATTTACAATAACTGTCAATAGATACCAACAAAAATTTCTATACACAAGCCTAAAAGTAACTACAATATTGAGGTCAGAATTAGCATGATTCTTCCATTTGGTCAAATTTCCTTTACCAAATAATACTGTCAAGAAATACAAAAAAGAAACCTTAGTTAGTCCTTTCAAAGCTACATAATTTTCCAAATGATTCTCCTCTGGTTGGAGAGCCTGTTTATTCCTTCAATCCTTTTTTAGTCGTTTAGCTTTTGCAATATTTTCTTGACGTTTTTGTTTCTTCTTTTGCTCCTTCTCCCTGGCCTCAATCACCTTGGCCAACTTCCAAGACAGTACAGCACTTGCTAGGAACAGTGGGGTTAGGGCCAAAATAACTGTTGTAAGGAAGCCATACGGGTCCTTTGCAGCCCATACTCAACACAACATACTCAGCCCAAGCCTTAATACCAGACATCTTCGTAGCAGTCTTAGGAAAACTTCCGTTTGAGTTGTGGTCTCTTAACTTTGTCCTGGTGTTATTAATGAGCCAATCACAATTCTAGATCACCCTGGACTGTCTGTCGTCTTCTTGAGTTCTACCGTGTACTTCTGAGAGAAGGTTTAAATTCTATACCCAGCGTGGCTGCTGGTGGCCCACGGGAACCGTGCTCGCCCTGCCCCTCGGCCTTGGCGAGCGCGGGCCCCTCCGCAGAGCCAAAGATTCCAGGGAAGGTGGTGTCGGCACCGCCACACCTTGCGCCGCGGCCACCTGTGCTAGGCACAGGGACAAAACCACCCCGGCTGCCGCCGCTAGCCTCCCCTACGTCTCGCCAGGGACTCGTGGTCTGTGGTCTTTTGCCTCTAGGACCTCTGGTCTTCCCTGTGGGTCTCAGATGCCACTTTGTCATTAGATCCGTGGCTTGCGTGCAGGAAGAAGGCCCTTGTTACTCTAGCTATAATCACAGGCATAGGCATGCTCTCTTGCTGTGGAGTCTGCAGTCGATGTGCCCTCTGCTTGGGAATGCAGGACAGATTTTCCCAAAGGCTTTGGTATCCCCAAACTATAATGCTTCAGCTGAGCCCCAGCACTTGGGAACACTTCCAACTCCAAATAGACCAGTTCCATTCCAATAATCTTTAACTTCATCCCCATTCAGCAGGAGGAGGGCAGAACAAACGCACCACCCACATTCCATAGAAATGGAATGGAATTTTTTTTTTTTTTTTGAGACAGAGTCTTACATTGTTGCCTAGGCTAGAGTGAGTGCCGTGGCGTCAGCCTAGCTCACAGCAACCTCAGACTCCTGGGCTTAAGCAATCCTCCTGCCTCAGCCTCCCAAGTAGCTAGGACTACAGGCATGCGCCACCATGCCCGGCTGGTTTCGAACTCCTGACGTCAGGCGATCCTCCCACCTGAGCCTCCCGGAGTGCTAGGATTACAAGTGTGAGCCACCATGCCCGGCCAGAAATGAAATGGAATTTGACAGTGGGGAGATGTAACCAATGCCCTGCTATTCAGTGCCCCATTTTGAGATTTTTTCCTGCCCATTTCTTGCTATGCTCTTAATGAAGAAATACTGACCTTAACCTTCCTTCTTTCCACCAGGCTCTCCCTTGCACCAGTCCCCTCATCTAACCATGTGTTTGTCTACAAGTTCCAGAGACTGAGTCTTTAAGCAATCTGGACCCCCGCCAGGAGACGACCTCAAGGCTGCAGTTAGTTCATAGATAAATGGCCTTCGAGAGAGCACCAGCCAACTCCCCTGGTGGAGCAATCGTTCAAGATAGTCACCGGGACAAAGCACAGTGGCAGGCACCTCCTTGCCTCTCCTGCACGCCCTTCATGCTGAATTCCTTTCTTAGGCTCTGACCCCCAGCCCAAGACATCAGAATGGTTTCTTAGAGGCATGAGCGTTGGCCATTTCTTCGCCGCTAGCTCTGGCATAAAGTCACTTTTCTTTCACTGCACCTACTCTTGGTTACTGGTTCACTGCAGCTTCAAACGAGTGCGATAATTAAGGCGTCTCGTGCTTATTGTTTCTCTTGCTTCCCATTTAGTCAGAGGAAATGTGACTGGGAGGGAAGGAAACCAAGGGTCCCTAATGAACACAAGGCCCGTAACTGTTACAAATATCATCTGGGATTTTTATGTCTCACAGCTGGCTCGAAGTTCAAGTTAGATTGTTGTCATCTTTAATGTTCAAATTGCTAATTTGGTTGTTCAAGGTATTTTACTTAAATTTTAATTAGAAAATAAAAGAATGTACTTTTTACCCTCATTCCACTCATTGACCTACTATTATTTATCGGGGAAAAGAAAATGGGAGAACCGATTGAATGTCTATCCTCTCCTAGTTCCATGGGAGCAGGGAATACGACTGTCTTGTTCGCTGCTGTATTCCCACAGCTGAGAGCAGCGTCCAACGCAGGGCTGGTTCTGATTAACGCTACTCTCCACACGGCCTTGCTTCAAATTTTCAAAGCAAACCAGTACTCGTAGCTTTGGAGTAACAGCAACTTCTGGTAAGCTTCATACCAGTTTCCCTTGCGACATTACACAGTTTTAAAGTGCAAGTCATGTTTTTAGATTAAGGAAAGCAAATGAAAATAAATAATGTGCTACGGGCCCGTTGATTCGGTGTTCTAGTGATATCAGACAACCATAAATTTTAACCATAATTAACTGTGCTAAAAGACACAATGGCAGTATGTTATTTCTGGTATATATATCCCATACACTAGATGCATCTGTTAATTCAGTCTTTGCTCCCTGAACTGGTGCAAAGGTCCTCTGGCATCTGTAGGCTCCCAGGGCTGTCCTCTCCCCTGAGTGTGCCCGAACCGTCCCCACCCCACTCTGGGCCAAAGCCTGGCCGGCCACGTGGCAGCAGATGTGGCTTCCTGACTTTCAGAAGCGCCCACAGGTGAGGAAGCTGGTTTATGTCGGGTTTCTGAGTAGGACGGGATCCCAGGGCACCTACAGTCTGGGGAAGACAGGGATGCGCTCCACCCCGTGGCCCATGAAGCCAGGCCACCTTCCAGGATGCCCATAGGTGAGTTTCCTTCATTGCGTCCTGTCCAGGAAATTCCCTAGGCTTTTGTGACAGCCAGGAGGTGACGTCTCTGCAACTCCCAGAAGGCAGAGGGCCTGAGGGGTCCACCACTAGCGCAGAAGGAAGCCGCTGCCCACGCCCCTATCTCCAATACCTGAGCGTGCGCTGTCCACCTGGGGAGCGCCAGGGCAGGAGAGGTGCAAGCACTGCTGGAGGTGGATGATAACAGGGAGCCCCCAACCTCCAGAAAGCCTCGTCCCACTTTGCGCCCCAGCACTGGGGGGATCCCACCTGCCGGCTCCTGCCCCGCACTGCCTGGCCTCCAGGTGTCCTATGGCCATGCAGGGCTGAAGAGCCACTTGTGCCTCTCCCCAGGCCTTCCCCCCCTGCAGGCAGGTCTGATTCCAGGGTGGCCTCACCTCAGAGCAAGGCCCAGGCCTGCTTCCTCCTCCCACACTGCTCTGCAAAGTAGCAGTTAAACCCCAGAAAGCCCCAAGCGGAACTGCGTGTCTTCTTCTGGACAGCTGGAGGAGAAGCGGAGCCAGCGGGGACGCGGGGTGCTGCAGCCGTGGCTGTGGCCGTGAGCCAGGGGTCCCCACATAGGCAAGTTGCCAAGCCGCATGGCTTCCTGGAGACGCCACAGGTGCAGCTGCTAAGTTTGGAGGTGCTGGGACCTTCGCCCTTCTGTGAGCCCCACCAGCAAGGGAGTGACCCTCCCGGGCAGCACGTCAAAGGCTCCCAGTTCGGACGCCAGCCTGAAGACAGGACCTTGTCCCAGGGGAAGGAAGTCACGCTCAGGTGAAGGACAAGCTGCTGGGATCTCACCCCCACGCTCCTTCCCCCTGCCTGCTCACCCCATTTATCTTCAGCCGGCCAGGAGCATCGCGCGTCCCAGAAAGGGGAGAGAATGAGCCGCGAGGTGGGGTGTCGGAGCCAACCTGCTCCAGCTGCAGCCCCTCTGCTGACGTCTCTCCCGGGTGAGACGGAGGCCCAGGGAGCCACAGGAGGACACACCCAGGGAGCTACACTCACAGGGAGGAGGATCTTAGCTCAACCCCAGGTAGGAGCCCAGGTGAGAAGTGAGCGTTCACCACTGACAGGAGGGCCAGGGGCTGGGCAGGGGCTCAGACCCCAGGCAGCAATCCTTGGAGCTGGGGGGAGAGAGGGTCCCCCCACCCTGGGGCCCTCCAGGGCTGACCCTGGCCACCTGGATCCAGTGCTCCAGAACCCTGGCCCTGTCTTGGGCCTTCATGCCGCGGTCCCCAAGGCAGGTGGTGATGACAAAGAGGCCACACTGTAGAAGTGGGAGATGGTGACTCAGATGGTGGCTGCCACATGCTCCTTTTCTGTTCTCTCCTACTGGATCCAGATGGAGCCCAGACATGCGCCAGCACCACCTTCTTGAACAGCTCCTGGGGAGGAAGAGGGAGTCACATGGGCACGGCCAGCTCCGAGTCTGCAGTCGCCCACAGTCCCAGGCAGGTGGCCGTGGTCTGAGCTGGAGTCAGAAAGCTTTGAAATCAGACTCGTGGGAGCCCTGGGTTTCGTTCTCTGCTCACTGGGAGCACCAACTGCATGGAGGCCCAGAGAGGGGTGGGAACAGGGTGTGGCCTGCTCACCTAGGCCATCCTCTCTCACCCCAGGCTCCTCCACAAGAGGGCTCAGGCCTGCCCATCCCGAGGCCACACCTGCCGCCCAGGCCGTTCCCTGTGGCATGTTCCCTGTGGCATGTTCCCTGTGGCAGCTGCAACCAGGGGCTCTGTTTGGGTGTCTGCTCTAAGATCTAGTATGCATCAGGTGTCTAATAAGTGCTGAGGCTGGTGATGCCTCCTGGGCAGATGGGTGAGTGACCCAGGGACCTGCTCGGTGAGCCCCTCCTCCACCAAATGGGCCAGGCCCGGCCCGCTCTCTGCCCGGTCACATTCGATATGCACGGTCACTCTGCGCAGCTGCCACCAGGGACAGCTTCTGTGCGAAGAATGTCATCCAGGTCACACGGTTGATAAGACGTGGAGCTGGGGTTGACCCAGTGCATCACCCTCTGTCCGGCGAAGGGCTGGTCTGGAACTCGCTCTAGGCACCCTGAGGCTGAGGCTGCTCTGACACGGGGGCAGTGGCTGCAGAAACCTCCTTTCCTCCCCATCATAGAGACAGCGCACGGCGCAGGGACACCCTGGGAGAAGACTTTGGGCGTAACACAACACAGCCGTCTCCCTGACATTGAAGGGGGTCCCGAGAAACAGCTGCTTCAGCAGCCCTGGGCTTGGCAACGGGGCAAGCGCTGGGGGACCCCAGGGCGGGAGGAGGCCCAGCGCAGGGCCGAGGGTCTGAGCGACGACTCCGGGGACAGAAAACCCAAATGAAAGGTGACTCACGTGTATCAGCTGCAAAATTGGAAATGAAATCAACGATGTCATTTTTATTTGACACACACACACACACACACCAGGTTGGGAAAAAATGAAAAGAATGTTGACAACCGGGGAGATAGGTGCAGAGGAGCAGCTACGTGCAGAGACTGCCGGCAACACGCACCTGCCAGGGCGCGACTGTGAAGTGACCTGGCTGGGGCTACTGATCGCTCATATGCACATGTATGGACCCAGCAGCCCCCTGCCTGGGGTCCTGCCGTCCGCATGGGATTAGTGCATGTTACGGGCTGAAGTTCGTATGTTCATGTTCTAACCCCCGCCCCTCAGAGTGTCTCCCCCACAGGGGACGCCCCCCCTTCGAGATTCGGCTCCCAGACCAGGCGCAGAGGAGCATCTGCACAGACCTCCCACCAGGGAGGAAGCCCGATGACAGCTGGAAGTCTTCGGAATAACATCCGGGCACGCAAACTAGGTCCGAAACGCTCAGCCTTCTGTCCCACCAGCCAGGACCTGGGGTGTGAACCTCACTGACTTCCCACGCCCGACAACGAGCTCCTGTCCAGGAAGGGCCCCTCATCTCCTTCTCCCCCAACCCACCGTGATGGGGAGGCGTGTGGAGCTGC